AATTCAACTATAGTTTAGTTTTCAACAAACAATTCAACAATAGTTTAGTTTTTGATGATTAATTGTTTGAAAACAATTCAACAATAGTTCAACAATTTAAAACAATTCAACAAAAATTGAATTGTACAATTCAACCTCATATGACGCGATATGAGGCTTTTGCGACATGAGGCTTTTAGTTTTGAAAAAGCAAGTATTGATCGCCAAATTCCAAGAAACCATGACGCGAACGAGCAGACGCATCGTTAAGATCTATAGAAAGCAGTAGAAAAAAAACCAATCGGTGATAAAAATTAATCGATTCAACAGGTCTAAAAAACAGATGAAACTAATTGATTCTGAATTAGGATGACCATTACCAGTTTACCACAATTTACCACAAATTGAACGTTGTGTACAGGTAGCTATTACTAGCTCAGCTTGTTGAGTTGAACATACTATTTCGTAAACATAACTAGCCTTGAGATTGCATGTACTCGAAAGTTCCATTCCATAGATGCTTTATTCTCCCTTTTTCTTTCTTTTAGATCAATAGATGAAAAATTTACCAAGATCATTTTCTTTCGATTATGTCACAAAACCTTTCTTTTTGCCATTAGAACGTCTTGTTCAAATTTTGCATTTTTCTCTCTCGACCAATTTGTCATAATTTATATTAATTCAACAAACTTCGTCAAAACAGTCTCGAAATTGGTCTTTTAACTGTTTATATGGTTTTGTGTTCAAATTAAGGTTCTTGGATGGCGAACTAAATGTTACGTCGAGGGAGCAAACAGAAGATCGAGACAATTCTTTCCGAGGCGAAGGTTTAGAGTCTGTGAGATAATTACCTTAAACTGCAAAAAGAGAACAAAAGAATGAAGTTGAGTCAATCATGAAAAATTTGTCTGCATACGAAGTGATCATGCGATATACAAAACTGCATATAAAGTGGGGAGTTCCCTTCTAATATTCAGCTGCCTAAAGATTCATTAAAGAAAATTTTGTCTGCCAAAAGGAATAAACTAGCTGAAGGGTCAGAAGAACTCTTATACACCTGCAACATTGCTTTTCCGAACAACAAAGCTTCCATAACCCACGAGGTTTGTTCTCTTCCATGGTTCAAAATATGGTTTCTATGAGTTAACTGTTTACTAATTCTGGAGTTTGATAATGTATATTTGGTTTATCTTTTTCAAGATGCGAGAAGCTGTGAGAGACGTCGCTTTAAAATTCCCGACGGTTATAGTCACCTAAAGATCTGTGCATAAAATACATCATATTTTACTAAAGAGTGCAAGACGACAAATGAGTGTAAGAACTTTAAACTCACTTGAGAAAAGGTTATTCTCAACGCCACCACAAGCCATTCTCACCTCCATTTGGTCTCCTAAAGCTCTGCTACAAACTAAGGACCCAATATGATCTTAAACCGTTATTGAGCTGTGAACAAGCTTAATCAAGACTCCACATGATGAGAGCTATCCACTCTACTTAAGATTTCCTCTTTATTCATCCGTAGGTAAGGTATATGATTTTTTATTTTCATATTCGTAGCTTTACCAGCTGAAGGAGAATTACAATGGAGGAAGCCATGTCATAGTACATTAAATTCCATAGAGTGATATGATACGACTTACAAAGAATACAACGAAGAAGACAAAAAAAGAAAACAAAAATCAAGGGAACAAATAGATATAAGCACTCAAGGAGCTAGAAAACTTGGATAAAAACATGTGAGACACAAAAGACAAGACAACAAGCATTGGTTGAAATTGGAAAATGATACAAGTTGTCAAGCAAGAAGCAGAGAAATACAGAGGCAGAGAAACATCACCAGTGATAGTTCAAGAAAATTTTAGGCAATCGATAAACAACATGATAAAAAGTCAAAAATTAAGGAACATGAAAACACTCAAAACTAGAGGATGGACCGACAATGCAAGAAAATAGAAGATAGGAAAGATGTATTAAAGACCTTTAAAGTTATATGGCCTAACGGAAATTAAGGTGGTTGAGAACTATACCTTCTTATTTAGATCATAGCTACATTAAGTGTTAATATGGACCAATGATTATTGCTTTCATTAGAGTAAACCATTTTTAATTGATGTCAAATTGTTTAGAGTGTAGAGTGGTTTTGCCATCTTAATAATTCTACCCTAGCTTTACCAAACAACTGAACAGTTGAATTCTCATTTAAAATAAAAAATTGTTGTAGTATAAAAAAATTCGTCATCTATATGCTACTGTTTCTTTTCTTTTTTTTGGTCACAAGAACTATTGTTTCTAAGTTTACAAAGGAATCGGCACAACGAATAGCATACAGATGACGAATATATTGTT